ACCGCTATATTAACAAAGACTCGAATGAATTTTTTGTAAAATAAAAAAAAGTGAAATAAGAAGAACTCAAATGTGTTTATAACAACTTCAATTGATTATTTTTACAATATTGCTAGGGAGAATAAAATTTTGAGCCAGATTTACAAACAAGATGATGTGTCACCAACAAACAATAATTAAGCACGTTAATTAATACTTAAGTAATAATCCAATCATCAACAACCACATCACTTGTTTTTAAAATTTAGTCTCCTTAGCATTACTTTATTTTAATATCTTATGTAACCACCTCTGGCAAAGTTGTGTAACTGAATCTCGGATACTCTCTTATCATTTGGTACACCTTCTCAGCTGGTCAGATTGATCCGGTGCAATGCAACCATAGTGATGTCATGCATTTATAGAAATGTTCGGAATATTTTGTCATAACTTAAACAAAACAAGGACAACGAAGGCGTCTTTCTGTGGTGGCAATGTTTTGCCAACTGTTGTTGTCTTACTCCCACCGTTACCACAATAACATTATTATTTTCTTTCTAAAAAATTATACTAATTTAAATTATCAGACACATTCTTTGATTATAAAATGTCAAATTCTATTTGACGTTTTCGTTTTGAGAAATAATTTCTTCAAAAAATCATTTTGTTAAACATTACTGGACGGACCCTAAGCTATTTTTTAAGACACAATTTGAAGATTATATATTAATTAGTTAGCATAGAAATTATTTAGCCATAGATTCATAGGGTGTTATTTATTATTGGATTAAGTACTTAAAACCCTCAACATTTTAGTGTCATTCTAAATTGGTCACAACATTTTTAAACATTCCAAACAAGTACTCAACCGATTGAAAATGTCATATTTGTTAAACCCCAGTTAAAATTTGGTAAATTAGCTAGGGCTTATTTTGTCTCCAAAATTATCGAAAGTCATGGTGGCGTAATCTCCACCAACTAATGGTGACCACCACCCCATCATGTCATCACCTCAAATTCCACCACAAAACCACCAATTCCACCTACAACTCAAGTCACCAACATCGAGAAGAAGGTCATGGAGGTTGCTGAAATAGTATGGACTATCACAATGTGGCCATCACCATCTTCACCACTCACAAAGAAGAACTAAAAACTTTACGAGCTGAGAACCGGGAAATGAAGAAATCACATGAGCAGAAGTGAGCTCCTTGAAACCGTAACTAAATTCTTAACCATCTTCTTTGTGAGGAGATTGCCTTCCTAATGTAATTTAAATTTGAGTTCATTTTTATTCAATCAATACTTATTTGATTATGGGGTTCCATATTATGTAATCTGTTAGTACCACACACATTGGGCCTCAGACTTTGACACATTGAGCCTCAACATTTGGGCCTCATTACCCAGCCCATAATTATGTAAAAGGAGGAGCCCCTTATTCTATAAAAGGGGACTCCTCCCCCCTCACAAAGGAGACTCAGATCTTAAACCAGGGGATACCCCCAAAACATACAAGCCACAAAGCTCACAGAGAAACTCTCTCTTTCTCTGGGGGACTCCCCCTCACACTTATAATCCATACATTCATACAAAGAAATACAATCAACATCAGTGTGGACATAGCCCAAACATTGGGGTGAACCACGAAATATCTTGTGTTCTTTACTTTCTTGCAGATTCACGGTCGGATTTACGTTGTTCCAAGACCCTTCCGGTTTTGTGCATCAACATTTGGCGCCGTCTGTGGGAATCGACACGAAAAGTTATGTCGGTTCTCTTTCATTTTTTCATCTCACCACCATGAGACCTCACCACACTGTCCACCGTGAATTTGCAGAAACCGAAGAACCAAACACCTGCACAGTCACTGCAAAACCCATGCCTTCCACTCCAGCTCCCCGTCACGGCAACAGCTACAAACAATCTTCATAATTCTTAGATCTCTCTCTCTTTCTTTCTCTCTGTAGAAAGCTTTCATCTTTCTCTCTCTACATTTCTGAAAACACAGAGACTATATAGTCTACAGAGAACAGAGAGAGAGAGAGAGAGGGATATATATATATATATACACACACACACAAATCCAGCCATATATCGTTGTCTTTTTGTCTCTCCTCACAGAGCTTCCAATTCTTCATCCATGTCTTCTGAATTTTCGTCTCCTCTTCTCATATTTAATTCATTTTTTAGTCAGTAAAGGGAAAAAACAGGGCGCCTCTGTTTCTGCCTCCGCCTGTAAATTGGTGTACCGAGCTGATCATCCGTATTCATGGCGTACCACAACCACCTCTCCCAGGACCTCCCTCTCCACCACTTCACCTACCAAACCCACCACCAGCACCAGCAATATCAATTAGACCAACCCGACCCGACCTCAAGCCCGACAGCATCCTCAACAAGAACGAAGGCGGAGTCGTCAAGAGCGGCATCCCAGGCGGAGGAGAATGAGGAGACGGCAGGGTCATGAATTAGTAGAATGCGAAACACAAAGTCGAAATTTTGGCGCACCCGCTGTACAAGCCGCTACTGTCGGCGCACGTGGCGTGCCTGCAGATCGCGACGCCGGTGGACCAGCTGCTGAGGATCGACTCCCAGCTGGCTCAGTGGCAGAATGTGGTGGCGAAGTACTCCACCTTGGGGAACGGCATGGTTGGCGATGACAATGAGCTTGATCAGTTCATGAACTCTTATCAATGGACGGTGATGTAATGACAAGATCAAGCCAGCCCTGCATGCTACAATTCAGAAGCCTTCCGGTTCGACTAGCACGAACATTTTTTATGGGAGTTCCTCTGCTGCTAGGATTCTCTGGTGAAACCCAGAAGTTAACGGTCCAAATAATCAAGCACATGAAAGGACATCGACCACCAGCTAAAATCCATTGGAAAAGATAAAGACTCCCTCTTCTCCAACTTATCATTTGTATATTATTTATTTTTAATCATTTCTGACCATCACATGCATTCTGTGATGTTTTATTATCTATCTTTAATCATTCCAACCCAAGTTTCAGACCAAAAATCTCACGAGACAACTGTGAAGAAGATAAGAATTCTTTATTCTTTTATTAATATGTCGGCCACCTCCCTTTTAAAGTAACACAATTTTAATCATTATGAACACTATATTTATTATTTAAATATTATTTTCATACATAATTATTGTATATGAGTCATACACGCCATACTGCCTATTTTGTTCACTATACATTAAGTGCCACTATATATATAAGTAATTGCTTTATGCACTTTTTTCAATCTTATTGCAATGACAGTCAGCATGATATTTAGAGAGTACTATTTGCATTTGATTAATAGTTCATGACATGGTATATGCAACATGACAAATAGAGTCATCCAGCTACTGATACAAGTGACAAGTACAAACTGATATGCATAGTTATATGTGCATGAATTGTGATTGCCTTTAAATTATGTCACTTATATAACATGTGATTTACCACACGACTGAATAAATTATTTATTCACAGAAGGCACATAATACAATATTTTGCCTTAACAAACTTTGTCAATTTGATTTATTCATTATACAATCATATTTATGCTGCCATTTATTGTCAGGAATTATTGAGCAACCAGCTCTACTGATCAACGTTATTGCTGATTAAAGAAGCCTACTGACATTATTGATCAACCTATGGATCACTGGGCCACATGCTTATGGTGACAAATATTTAGTCCAAACAATGATCTCTTGCCTAATCCGACAAGCGGACCTGAGTCATGTCGAGAATCAACTCATATTGAGTGCATGTCGACATAAAGTAGATACTTGCAATGAGGAATAGCTGGACCTCCAAAATTATTCGGCAACCTGCTGCTATTATCACCAACTAGGTGATCAAAAGTACATCCAGTACTCCAAAATTATTTAGCAACCTACCGTTATTATCACCAACCAAGTGATCAAAAGTATGTCCAGTACTCCAAAATTATTCGGCAGCCTGCCGTTATTATCACCAACCGGGTGATCAAAAGTACGTTCAGTACTCCAAAATTATTCGGCAGCCTGCCACTATTATCACCAACTAGGTGATCAAAAGTATGTCCAGTACTCCAAAATTATTCGGCAGCCTGCCGCTATTATCACCAACCAGGTGATCAAAAGTACGTTTAGTACTCCAAAATTATACATGAGCATCACTCATGTCAATCATACATAAACATTCATGACCATCACTCATGTCAATCATACATAAACATTCATAAGCATCACTCATGTCACTCATGTCATCACTCATGTAAATCAACATAAACATTCATGAGCATCACTCATGTCAATTAGCTTCGAAAGCTTCATTTACAGAGTTCTAGTTTCAAGAGCTCCAGCTTCAAAAGCTTCATTTACAAAAACTCCAGCTTTAAAGCTTCACCTACAAAGCTTCAGTGCATGGTATACAAAAACCGCCTCCGAACAACCGCCACTTCGGCCCATACATGGATTCAATTTGAAGTCTCCAGCCAATAGACTTTATTGACAGAAGACATGGGGGACTACACTATGTACCATATATTGGGCTTCTGCAACTGGGCCTCATGAAAAATACTTGGGGGGACTTGGCCCATTATTTATGTACTGAGGAGCGAACCCTTATTCTATAAAAGGGATTCCCTCACTTTCATTAGAGAGCACCCATTATCTATGTACTGAGGAGCGAACCCTTATTCTATAAAAGGGACTCCCTCACCATCATTAGAGAGTATCGCCGCCTGCTGAGCAACCGCCTCGCCGCGAGCATCAACTCTAGCCCATCACTTATGACACGCCCCGACCCTGATATTCCCCGAATACCAGGACCGACACGTGCTGGCCGACACCCGGGGGTGACGAAAGCCATTAATTGATACAAAAGCTAAGAATAAGAAATAAATAAGGGTTAGAAATTTGAAATACAATGAGTTAACAGTTTAGGAACGTGCTCAGAGCATACAACTAAACCTAATCACTAAAAGGAATTAAGATAAAATTTAATGAATAAAGGAGTGAGTCCTACATTTGAGAAGATCCGAAGATGCTGCTGCGGAAGTGTCTTGACGCCGGGATTAGGTGCCTTGATTCTAAGTCCTGAATGGGGGCGCAAAACAAAGCTGAGTGGACCAAGTTTATATATACAATAATAATAAAATAATTATCAAGACACTAACCCCCAAAGTTTATATAAACGAAAACTACTAGCATAATAAGTGATGGATTTAATAAAAATCCTAGCATGCCAAAGTATCTCAAAAAGCCATATCGCGGAATAACATCGCGGAAATCAAAACAGTAAACGCATCATAAATCGTCTCGTAAGCGCGGTGTGCTGCTAGAAAGATCACTGAATAAATATAACTCCCGGCCCAATGCCTGCACCTCAGTCTCTGTGCCCGTAGCTAGAGATAACTCCCTCCCGGCCCAATGCCTGTCTCCGTGTCCCTCAGCCTTTCGCTAGGGATTATTTCTCCCGGCCTACATGCCAACACCAGATCCTCGCCCCATGCGGCATAGTGTCTACTAGGTACGCACAAATATTTACGTCTCTCTTAAATAACCACTTCATAGCATAGGTTACCGATCATCGTCTATACTATAAAGAGGGGTTCAAAAACATGTTCTAGCATCCTATCGTCATCCATCGGATAGTCTACCAGTTCATGGTTTTTTATAGAAAATACGATATATTAAAATATAGCTCAAAATAGGCTAACAATTTATTCCTCACAAAAACACGAGACGAAAATCAATATATTCAATAAACAGGCTTCACATAAATCAAATCATAAACTCGTAGGCATGCTAATCATTCATACAATTAAACTATAAAATCATGTAATTTTAGAAGGGGTCCACTCACACAAATATTCCTTAGCAGAAGAATCGCGCGAATCAGGATTACGAATTTCCTTAATAGCAACTTTACCTAAGCACAAAAATATAATTAATAAATAAAGGATTTTCTAAAATATTGAGTTTGAATTAAATTAAAAAATAGGGGATTGGGATTTGGATGGGTTTAGGGTTTTGGGTTAAAAGGTTATTAGGGTGAAAGAAAGGAGTTTGGGCTTAAGCCCAAACATATATTCAACAAACACACACACACATGCACAGCATGCATGTGCATGCCTAATCACACACACACACACGCCTAAGTGCACACACACACACACCACCAAAATATAAAGGCCTTAAGGCCTTATATAAAAAAGACAGGGCTTAAGCCCTTTAATTAAACCGGCCCAAGGCCTCACAAAACTAGGGCCCGAGCCCATTGGGTTTTTAAAAACTAAACTAACAAAATTAAAAGAAAAAGGGGATTGGGGATTTGGGTTTAAGACCACACGGGCCTAAGGCCCGAGGAGGAAATGGGAGAGGCCAGACGGCCTGGTGCCGAGGAAGAAGAAGGCCGGAGCTGCTACAGCTCCGGTCACCTGAAAACGGGGGCTTCAAGCTCCGATCTAGGTACGAAAATGAAGAACAAAGAGAGAGGATGAGATTTCTACCTTCCAAACACCGTAACTCGGTCGGAGGTGACCGGAATAGCCCTCGGAATGCACGGGTTCGCCGGAAAAATGGGTGTGCTCACCCAAAACGTTTCCAAGGTAAAACCTACGTAAAAATGGAAGGTTCACGCTTATAAATCACGACCAAACATTTAGCTAGGTACGAGAGTGAGAGATTAGAGACTTACCCCTACTGAAAAAGGAAGAAAACTCGTCGGAGCTTTGCTCCGTGCCGTTTACCTCACAGGGCAGGGGTCCCTGCTTCGTGGGGAGTCCCTCCTGATGGTGCTAAGGTCTTCGAGAATCCAGGGGGAGAGAGAGAGACGAGAGCTTGAGGGAGAGAGGTGCACGGGAGGGTTGAGACGAAGAAGAAGAGAGTCACGGGGTGGAGGTCAGAAAAAAAAAAAAAAAAGAAAGGGGGTTTGATGATCGACACGTGGCAGTTGGGGTGGTAAAATCAGATTTTCCAATTATTTTGGGGGTGGTTGTAACAATCTACCCCCCTTACAAAAATTTCGTCCCCGAAATTTAAAATACTTACTATTCTAAAAATATTCGAAAATAGGAAGAATAATAATATACATATACGTAACGAAGAGATCAGGTAGGAGCGGTTGCACAAAAGGGAAAATGTCACACCGTCGCGATCGGCTGCAATGATTCCATCTTTCGTGCCCCCAAGCTCACACTTTCTTTCCCCATCCGTGTAAAAATAGAAAACATACTTTAATAAAATATACAATTGAAAACACAAAATAATTTAAGGCCAGAAAACGTCAAAATAGATAAGTACTAACATATAGTTCAAAAACTTGAATCAACTTAAAGACGAAAACATAAATACTTTTCCAAAAACATTTGTAACATCAAAACAATTAACTAGTAACGGAAGTTAAAATACTTTTACTGAAAACCAAAACTGGAAAATGAAAGTGGATCTTGTCCAAGAATTCGAAATGTCACATATTCCGAGAATAGATGTGCATTTAGGTCGAGTCCCAAGAAATACAAATTCCGAATCTGCATCAGTTGCTGTAGACGAATCTTTGTGCCCGCTTGCTTAACGAACCCAACAGATGAGCTATCGATACAACGGTCTACAGCCCGCAATATCGACCTCACATTTGTTGTCTCGATAAACAAGTAGTAATTTCCTGATGATGAATAATTTCACACGTCGTAAATTCGATTCTCCGAAAACAAGCTCGCACAACTCCTCTAACAACCAATGTTACCTGTAGAACTTTTAGTACCATGTCGCAACAGTGTCATACCCAAACCACATAAAACAGAAACTGCCGTCGTAAAACTCTATCCAGCACCAAACATCATATTCTCCTCGGTTCTTCCAAATGTGACCAACTACTTCAAAATTTCACCAGTAAAGAACCCATTTGAAGACTGTACCTTGGGATTCAAGAGAAGTGGCTACCATGTTAGTAGTAGACCCAAAAGCTCGAACCAAGCAAGTAGAAAACGAGAAGTCATCTTCCTCAACACGCAGTATCTATTGGGAACAGTTGTAGTGCTCAATCCACCTCTCCATCTTTGCTTAGTTGCAGATGTCAAGTCAAACAAGGTCAAATTTGGTGGACAGAAGAACGACTCGCAAATGGTCATCCTAACAACCAAAGAGAACACGCACATTTCGAGAGAAGTGTAAAGATTATCCAATTCTCGCTTTGACCGTCCTGTAGTGCCATCCCAGAGTGCACCAAACAGATCAGCTAGAAATGTTTTAACAACCACGTACTCACAACAATAAGGTTCGGAAGTGAAGCAGTGGAAATATGCGTCGAGACGAACACATATCGTTGGAAAATAACCGATGTGATGCCTATGAATTCTAGTAAGATGGTGATGCAATATGCTGACCTTCTGCACCAAAATCTTCACCAATCTCTTACCAAAGGACAACTCAAACTTCACCCCCACGATGAACTCTTTCTGATAAGTCTGGTAAGCTTGTGAAAAGATTATGCTCCCAACATTCATGTCCGAATCAACACGAACTGGGTGCCCACTTTCACCCAAACGATCGATTGTGAATTTCTCACTGATTAGGCGAGAAACCATGCCGAGAAGGCTAAAAGAACACTTAAGAATTTGAGGATCAAAACAAATCCATTAAATATAGAGTATAAGATATCAGGATTTAAACTAGAAACCATGCCGAGAACAAACGTTTTTTTTTTTTTTTTTTTTCCCACCCTCCATATGATATTCCAGCATGATCCAGTTCACATTGAGAAACAAACAAGCGAAGGAAGGTAAAGATGTAGAAATAGAGTCACTGTTTCTGATTATTTTGCAAATCATCACAGTATGGTCAACTGGTTTCTTAGCTAAAAAGGAAATAGGTCTAAGCTCAGGAATAGTTAAGAACTGTCAATAAGATTTGACGAGGCCAGAGACAATTTGAAATTCACAATACTTGTGAGAGCCATTTAAAAATTCAGAAATTAAACATAGAACCTCTGAATCAACAGAATGACGAAGAAGAAAGATACAAAGCATCCTGCATAAGCATGCAGTGACATGATTAGCTACCTTAAGTGATGCTCTTAAGCAAACCAAAGCTCAATGAGTCCAGAGAAGTTCAGAGTAAAGTTCAATCTTCATACAATGATGAATATGATAAAGTCTCAAGCCATTACACTGAAAATTACAAGACTGAACATTTAGGTTGCAAGCAGAGACTAAGTTCACGTTCGCCGAAAAGTACGCGAACGAGGGACTAGGGTTTACCACCAAGTACCAGACCCAGGTGAAATTCAATGAATCTGTTTATCCAAACAAAACTGGATATTCATCATCCAAATCCAACTACAACAATAACAAGAATTGCAACTCCTTTTGGAAATTGATGAGAATAGTGTCTGCTACTAAGGAGTTTCCCAAGATTTCGAAGTAGAGCCGACTCTGCCCGCAATTCCTAGGGAACGCATGTTGCAGAGTGGCATCGCCATTTCGAATCTACAGCTGGTCTTTACCAAACTTCTGCACATTGAGATTTCTAAAACACGTCGCTTCCAAGTAACACAGACTATGCTTGCCATTCCCAAAGAATACACGTCGCAGAGTATAGATCCGATGTTGAAAGTCGTCCAGCAAACCAATTCGTTTCCTATGAGGCACAATCCCGACACGAGTTCTTGAATTTCAAACAGAAGGCGACAATTTAATCCGAGAGATATTTGCACAACTGCACCGACTGGCACAAAATCCGGAAGTCGTGACATCCAAATGATGTCAAAACCAACACTTTAAGAGAATAGAAAAGAATCCTAAGTATGCTCTGAACAAACCACGCTCTGATACCAATCTGACACGCCCCGACCCTGATATTCCCTGAATACCAGGACCGACACGTGCTGGCCGACACCCGGGGGTGACGAAAGCCATTAATTGATACAAAAGCTAAGAATAAGAAATAAATAAGGGTTAGAAATTTGAAATACAATGAGTTAACAGTTTAGGAACGTGCTCAGAGCATACAACTAAACCTAATCACTAAAAGGAATTAAGATAAAATTTAATGAATAAAGGAGTGAGTCCTACATTCGAGAAGATCCGAAGATGCTGCTGCGGAAGTGTCTTGACGCCGGGATTAGGTGCCTTGATTCTAAGTCCTGAATGGGAGCGCAAAACAAAGCTGAGTGGACCAAGTTTATATATACAATAATAATAAAATAATTATCAAGACACTAACCCCCAAAGTTATATAAACGAAAACTACTAGCATAATAAGTGATGGATTTAATAAAAATCCTAGCATGCCAAAGTATCTCAAAAAGCCATATCGCGGAATAACATCGCGGAAATCAAAACAGTAAACGCATCATAAATCGTCTCGTAAGCGCGGTGTGCTGCTAGAAAGATCACTGAATAAATATAACTCCCGGCCCAATGCCTGCACCTCAGTCTCTGTGCCCGTAGCTAGAGATAACTCCCTCCCGGCCCAATGCCTGTCTCCGTGTCCCTCAGCCTTTCGCTAGGGATTATTTCTCCCTGCCTACATGCCAACACCAGATCCTCGCCCCATGCGGCATAGTGTCTACTAGGTACGCACAACTATTTACGTCTCTCTTAAATAACCACTTCATAGCATAGGTTACCGATCATCGTCTATACTATAAAGAGGGGTTCAAAAACATGTTCTAGCATCCTATCGTCATCCATCGGATAGTCTACCAGTTCATGGTTTTTATAGAAAATACGATATATTAAAATATAGCTCAAAATAGGCTAACAATTTATTCCTCACAAAAACACGAGACGAAAATCAATATATTCAATAAACAGGCTTCACATAAATCAAATCATAAACTCGTAGGCATGCTAATCATTCATACAATTAAACTATAAAATCATGTAATTTTAGAAGGGGTCCACTCACAAATATTCCTTAGCAGAAGAATCGCGCGAATCAGGATTACGAATTTCCTTAATAGCAACTTTACCTAAGCACAAAAATATAATTAATAAATAAAAGGATTTTCTAAAATATTGAGTTTGAATTAAATTAAAAATAGGGGATTGGGATTTGGATGGGTTTAGGGTTTTGGGTTAAAAGGTTATTAGGGTGAAAGAAAGGAGTTTGGGCTTAAGCCCAAACATATATTCAACAAACACACACACACATGCACAACATGCATGTGCATGCCTAATCACACACACACACACGCCTAAGTGCACACACACACACACCACCAAAATATAAAGGCCTTAAGGCCTTATATAAAAAAGACAGGGCTTAAGCCCTTTAATTAAACCGGCCCAAGGCCTCACAAAACTAGGGCCCGAGCCCATTGGGTTTTTAAAAACTAAACTAACAAAATTAAAAGAAAAAGGGGATTGGGGATTTGGGTTTAAGACCACACGGGCCTAAGGCCCGAGGAGGAAATGGGAGAGGCCAGACGGCCTGGTGCCGAGGAAGAAGAAGGCCGGAGCTGCTACAGCTCCGGTCACCTGAAAACGGGGGCTTCAAGCTCCGATCTAGGTACGAAAATGAAGAACAAAGAGAGAGGATGAGATTTCTACCTTCCAAACACCGTAACTCGGTCGGAGGTGACCGGAATAGCCCTCGGAATGCACGGGTTCGCCGGAAAAATGGGTGTGCTCACCCAAAACGTTTCCAAGGTAAAACCTACGTAAAAAATGGAAGGTTCACGCTTATAAATCACGACCAAACATTTAGCTAGGTACGAGAGTGAGAGATTAGAGACTTAC